GCAGAGTTTTTACTTGCATATAATAGAGTTGAACTAAGTTGGTGATGTTTCTGATTGAAACATGACGAATAACTTAGACTTATTAGATGACAGAGTTTCTACTTGCATATAATAGAGTTGAACTAAGTTGGCGATGTTTCTGATTGAAACATGATGAATAACTTAGACTTATTATGTGACAGAGTTTCTACTTGCATATAATAGAGTTGAACTAAGTTGAATTAACTTATATCAGTTAGATTAACAGGGAGACCGAAGTTGATGACCTCGACCATCCTCCGTTTGAATCTGATCTCGGCGACAAGATCAATGCCATATACTTAATGAGAACCTAAGTGGAACTTAGGTTCACATTAGGGGGCAGAGGGTTGGAGAATGGTGCTTGGGAGTTGGAATTTCCAAGTGAAGATTGGTTTGACACTTGTTGAAATTTTGAGAAGAATTTACGAGTTAAAGTTAAGCCGGGGTCATGTTGAAAGAAAAATTGGTTTAACACTTATTGAAATTTTGAGAGCAATTTACAAGTTGAAGTTAAGCCAAAGTTATTTTTAAAGAAATATCTGTAAAATATTGCTGAGATTACCATATTACCAAGATTTGGAAAATAGTGGAAGACAGAAGCCTTGGTAAGCAAGAGTGAGTTAGCAAGTTGTAACACTTGTGAAAATATTATAAAAAATATTTTCAAGTGTTAGTTGAAAGCCGAGATAAAACTACTAGCAAGTATATCCGAGGTATTTTACCCCAAGAAAATTACACAGTTAAGGTGTACTTTGAAGAAACATGCAAAATATTTCAAGTATGGAAGCTTACAAGATAGACAAGCATTCAAACACTCAGAAGAAATACAAAAAGAAATTTGAGGGTGCATTCAGATAAGGAAAGAAGGCACTTTGGCCTGACATTGAAGAGCAATTGTTCAGATTACAAAAGTGGCACGTCGGCCAGATTAAAACTTACATTGTTTCAAAAGTAGGAAAAAAAGTACAAGTTCCAAGAAATAAAGAAAAACATCAAACTAGACTATTCGGCGTCATTGGTTGGTTGGGTTTGGGGCTTAGAGGAAATCTGGGAACTCTTCTCGACGACTTTCTTAGCTACGAGCTCGGCGTCGATCTCTTTAAGAGTCTGGTCCAGGCTCATCTCGGTGATAGGCACCTCGGATGATGACTTCTCGGCAAAAGCACCCTTTGAGACCTCATCCTCCTCATCACGAGTCAATTCCAGGACTTGCTCATTCAGAGTTGGGGACTTGGTCCCCTCAGCCTCGGCCTTCTTGGTCTTCTTGTCTTTAGCCTCCTCCTCGGACTCAACTTCGTCCTCGGACTGGCTTGGAGTAAGTAGGAACGGCAGGGCAAGGCTGCTAGCATTCCTGAGAGGGGAGTCCTCGGGGACAGCCAACAGCTTCAAAGTAGCCATCCAACCAAGGGTATAGCCCTTGTTGCATGCCTGTCTGACTTATTTTTTGTAATCTTCTTTGACGTCGGCCGCCCCCTCGACATACGCCTTCTCATCTATCGCCTTGATCTCGGACTCTTTTGTGGCCAGGGCATCTTGAAGCTTTTTTTGGGCCTCGACCATCTTTGCCTCGGCCTCTTTCTTTTCGGCAGTAAGGACCTTGGCAATGGCCTCCGCAGCATCAGCCTTTTCCTCGGCCTCGTCCTGAGCCTTCTTGGCTGCCTCAGCCTGCTCTGTAAAGGTCTTCATTTTGCCCTCGGCCTTGCTGAGGGACTTAGACAAGTTTGCAGCCTCCCTAGTCTTGTTGGCCAACTCTTTCTTGATGGCAAAGGCTTGCATCACGAAGGAGTGGCTATGCTCGATCGCTTAAGAGAGATGGAAAAAACACATGTTAGTAAAAACTTTGTAAGTATGAAATAGCAGAAAATGAAAAGTATCAAGTGTTAAAGGCATACTTGGACAGAGCATTGCAACATCAAAGCAAAATTCTCGTATTCACTCATCTCAGCGTTTCGATTGAGATCGTTGGAAAGGAGCAAGGCGGTAGAGAGGGCCACGCCGACTTCAATGTCGTCGGCGCTGTCGTCAGCTTTGACCGACTTGTCCTCAATTGTAATTGAGGGGGCCCAGGGGACATCGGATTTAAGAGACCCCGAAGTGGCCGTAGAGGCCGACCTCGGTTTCTTTGACTAGGTGGATTCGGATGGTTCGGCCTCGGCGGGCCTCTTCTCAGTGGCAGAGGAGGTCTTCTCACCCTCGGCCAATTTTGATATCGGCAAGGTGTCCTCAGTGTTAATCTGAGTCACTGTTGCCTTAGGTTGGGCCTTCTTCAGTCTTTTGGACTTTGGCTTTGGTTGAGACTGGGATTGAGAAGGTTGAGCGTTGACAGTGTCGGGGATGTCGGCCAGAAGATCGTCTGCAACTGCTTTCTTGTGACCCATCTCGGCAACGATTGCAGTTCAGCATCGGCGCTTGCGTTGAGATGGAGGGATTAGATATGGATCTGAGGTTGTTGGTCCCTCAGCTAGATTGGAAGTTGATCCCTGATCTGGCCGGGGTGATGAAGTTGCTGGTGGAGTTATGGCGGAAGGAGGAGACTTCTTTTTCTTCTTCGGGACGTCGGGCAAAACGGATCCGTAGGTTGGGATGAAGTTAAGCAGTAAAGGAGCTCTCCGCCTCTGAACTGGCAGATCCAACAGCTTCTTAAGGTCCTTGCTGGGAAAGAAGGACTTACGAAAGTCCTTGGGTGGCTATGGAAGAACTGCAGGAAAAAGCAGACGTTAGAATATATAGAAGGACCAAAGTATTAAAGACTTGAAAAATGAGTGAGTGTAACACTTGGTTCTTACCATTACCCTCTATGAATACTGTTCGGCTAAGAGGGTAGAGGTGAAGGTCTTCATCTGGAGTAAACTCCCAGTTGCCCGAGACAATGAAGTAATCGTCCACATCCCCCTTGTTGGAGTCTGGGAGGTCGGTAACAAGTTTGTATTCTGTGGACCTCGGTTTGAGGTGGTAGATGTAGCCTTTTTCTAACTTAAGGCCACACATGGTATAGTAGTACTGGATATCGGCAAGGGTAACCCTAGCGTTCTCTTTTTTGGCTAAGGCTACTATGCCATTAATAACTCGGTAAGAGTTGACAGTGAGCTGCATTGGGTTCAATTTGTAGTAATGGAGGACTTCTTGGAAAAGGATGTTGAGAGGGAGCCTAAGCCCACATTCTATGAAAGCTACAACTGGGAAGGGCATGGAATCGACTGTGGGCATGATGGAGTCATCCTCCCCAGCCAACCTGAGATGGACGTTGGCAGGAACGGAAAACTCCTACCTGAAGTATTCCAACTTGGTTGGAGTGTTTACCCTATACCTCTACATACCCATGATGTCGGCTTAAGGGGAAAGTGTTGGGATTCAGAAGGAAGTGTTTTGTAGGGGTTTGAAGGGCCTTGACCAAAACCTAAATGTGTGCTGGGGTAAGAATTTGTGAGGATCTAAGGGGAATTCGTTTCAGTTTTCCCTAAGATTCGGGAGTTCTACGACAAATCTTAAACCTAAGTCTAAGCAAACAAAGATTGAATGCAAGAATCTGGAAAAGACATAGAAAGCAGAAACAAGAACAATGATTCAGAAACAAGAATAGTGATGAATTATCAAGAACACTATGATAGTGTGTACACGGGTGCGAGACCAAGAACAGTGGCAGAAAACCAGGTGTACGAAACAGATTGTGCATACATATGTATTTCCATGAACAAATTGCAAACAAAGGAAAATTTGCAACATATAAAGGTTTAAGAACATGAATAAAGTCATAGTAGCAGAATATAAACACAATAGTTTAAGGAGAAACAAGAAATAGAAACAAAGAGGAACAGTAACTCACCGAAGAAAATGAAGCCGGTGTGAGGTACGCCGAAGTACGATGATGGCAGCAATCGGAGAAGGGCAGCAAAAGTCTTACCGGAGGAGGTGAGCAGAGTGGTTGCAGAGCTTGAGAGCTTGAAACAATGGCGGATTCGGGAGAGTAAAGAGAGAGAGAGTTAGCATGAAGTTGAGGATGCAACGATGAAAGGACGGAGAGAGAGAGAAGTGGTTTTGATCAAAACCACGAAATGATAGCAAAATTGCAATCAATGTGCCTAGGGTGACGTGCTTGTAGACGGCGCACGTAGACGCAGGGTGACTTAAAGGCGCGTGTCAAGTACGATCCAGTAGGAGAAAGACACATAACAGAAACGGTTGAAATACTGTGCGTGACAGCTCACACGCATGTTGAAGCTTTTGAAGTTCTTGGTTTAATGAAGCAAAGACCTCAGCTAGGAGGATGATTTCGGCTAAATAATTTGAACCAACTTGGTTATTTGTTTACAGGTCTTGTCATATGGGGCCAACGAATGATGACCTTGGTAATGAAAGACAAAACGAACTTAGCTGACATGCTGAGTAGAGGAAATGATATAGGTTCCATCACCTCAGGATGCCGAGGTTATAGAAACCAAGGGGCAGTTGTGGGGATGTAATTTTTGAATGACAACACGTGGCCGAGGTGCCATGTGTCCTGGGCATGATGCCGAGGTAGGCTGAGGTTATCTGTGAGAATACCGGAATCTCGGCTAGGCTGAGGTTATCTGTGAGAATACCGGAATTTGGGGTAAGCAGATGAGGGACAAGAGTCCTAGATTGGGAGAGAACTTCAGTTTGGGTAAAGATAAGACTCTTAGAGAGTTTATCCCAATCCCACTGGAAGTCCAAGATTAGTAGTAATCCAGAGTCCATTGAAGTCCGGCTTCTATTGGGATTAGGTTTGTATTGGCTATAAAAGAGAGGCACCCTCGTGGGTCTAAGGTACGCTTTTTGTATTCTGAATAGTGAGTTAAGCACTTTTGCTATCTTTGAGAGATAACTGACTTGATCGTCGGAGTGCCCCTGGGTGAACAAACCACTGCCAGAATCTCTTCTTTCTGGTACAGGTCGTTCGGGCGCAATCTATTCTGCCAGTGTTCACCAGCTGAGTACCTGTTTAGCAATGTGATCAGAAATCAACTCATACCATTTGATTACCTACATTGAACGATTAAAACATAAAAATTTCTTAACACATTGAACGATCAAAATTGCTAATGCTTGCAGAAGTTTTCATTTTTTCAAGTTCAGGAATACAGGTCCGAACATTACTTACTTGTTCGAGAATATGTTCCCGAACAAATAAGTAAAGTTTGGGAATGCAGGTCCGAACATGAAATTTTTTTAACACATTGAATGGTCAAAATTGTTAACGCTTGTTAACGCTTATAGAAGTTTTCATTTTTTTAAGTTCGGAAATACAGGCCCGAACATTACTTATTTGTTCGTGAACATGTTCTCGAACATAGATTATTTATTCGGGAATGCAAGTCCGAACATGGAAATTTATTAACACTTTCAATGGTTAAAATTCTTAACACTCGCAGAGATTTTATTTTTTCCAAGTTTGGTAGTTTCAGTTTTGAAGAAATAATGCGAGAGAGAGAGAGAGAGAGAGAGAGAGAGAGAGCATACCAATTATGACAATGGTTAAACCGACAAAGACAGTATTCTTCTTCTTCTTCTTAGTGGATTTTGTTAGGGTTTTTGGAAGTGAAGTTTTTTCGAAGGTGGAGAGATGTGCATTCAATGAGTGGAATGTTTAAGGATGATTTTGGTGTTATTTGAGGGGAGGGGGAATTTTAAGGGTTTCAAAATTTACAAGTAGGGATACAAAGAAATGGAAGGTCCAAAATAATTCATAGGGTGCTAATAACACCACTCAAAAAATTATATAAGGTGGTAAATAAAAGAGATAATTAATAAGATAAAGGGAGTAGAGTATTATATGTTTGATTAGGATGGGGTAAAAAAAATTTATTTTTTACCATTGGATAAATAAGGAAATAATCTGCAAAGGCCTAATCCCTTAATACTTCAATTCTTATGGTATTGTAATTCCTATTTTTTCTCATTTAATCACCATAGCAGTAAAGTTATTAAGGATTTTAATAGGGGTACTTACGTGTAGGTCCTAATGAGTGAATTTATTGTCTAATAGATCCTATAGAAAAAATTTGTCATAAAAAAATATCACTAATTATAAATTTTAGCAACAATTTATAAAAATCATGACAAAAAAAAGTCACTAATTGTCAATTTTTAACGACATATATAAAAAATTATCACAAAAAAATTATTTTTAGCGATAATTTTACCAAGACTTATTTTCAATAGGATTTGATAGAAATTAAGTCTAACTATTAGGACTTATTAGTAGTTTACCCATTTTATTTTAATGCTATACTAAGGCCTTGTTTTGCAAGTGATTTTTTTAGCCAAAATGTTAAAAAGTTACTAAGACTTCGTTTGGGAAGTAGGTTGGCTTTTTGACTTTTTGACTTTCTTGGCTATTTTAGTCTGCGCTAAAAGCTTGGTTTGACAAGGGCTTTTTGGTTTTTTTGACTTTTTTTGTGAGAGAAGAATGTAATGATTATGAATTGGATGTGATGCTTTATTTTTTCTGGCTAAAATAGCCTATTTTATTTTTTGTGGCTAAAATAGCCTATTTTGTCTTTTGTCGTTAAAACAGTCAAAAAAGTCCCAAATCCATCTTCCCAAACAGAGCCTAAAAAAACCAAAAAGCCAGCAATTTATACTAAAAAGTCAAAGATTTTTTTTTCTCTTTACTTTTTGCACATCTTTTCATAAAAAGTTAAAAAGTCAATCCAAACATATTAATTTTTCTTACATCACATTTTACTAAAAAATTAAAAAATTATTAAAAAAACTTGTACGCAAACAAGGCCTACGCAACCATTGTACTAAAAAAATAGGGCAAATTACATATACACCCCTCCAGGTTTGGTTAAATTACAGATACCCCCCTGAGGTTTCGGAAATTACATCCCGCCCCCTGAGGTTTGTATTTTCATAACAATTTACCCCCTGAGGTTTATATTTCATAACAAATTACCCCCTAATTTCTTATGCAAATATAGCATTCAGGGGGGAATTCGTAATTTCTCAAACCTCAGGGGGATATCTGTAATTTTGTCAAACCTGGAGGGGTGTATATGTAATTTGCCCAAAAAAATATGGGACTCAATGCTTCCCCTCGCTTATCATATTTCTTTATTCTACAATCAAATAATGTCCCCGTCCCCTGTTTTCTTTCTTTATCCCGCAATCAACCAAAAACTATTTTTTTGGGTGAAACCCAATCATTTTTCTCACCCTTTGGCCTCATTTGAGAAGGTAATTATTTTAGCAGGTTATTTTAGTTTTTGACTATTTTAATAAGTTAAAATCGTTATGTATGAGAAGAGAGTTGAATTTTTTTATAATTAGATATGATGTTTGTGAAAGAAAAAATAAAATAATTCTGAATTTGATGTGACATTTTAAACTATATATTTTATCTTTTTATAAATTTTAATAAATAAAAAAAACCCAAACCCAACTTCTCAAACACCCCTTTATTTCCTTTTAGTGAGGTAATCAAACTCGGTCTTAAAAGGACAGGAGAGAAACTATTTTTAATTTTTTTTTAATAGTCAAGAACATCATAATACATATTATTGTGCTTCTTGCAAGATAATTAACACATGGTCAATGCTTACCCAATCAGAGGGTAGTCTCATGTTATTATCAATTATAGTACATAAAATAGCGTTGTGTCTATGTCTGTTTTATGATTATTTTGTCAATTTGAACTTGACACGTAGGGTTGTTTTCTTACTTTTTTTTTTAATAATTATTGATAGGTCATGCCGTGGACAATAGGGATATGTGGTTGTTAAATCTTTAATTTATATTTATCGCTGATAATTTATCCAATCCTGAGTTTAATTTTACGTTTTTAACTAAGGTTGTCCCATATCCTATGTTACACCTCACTCCTAGTACTATGAGCCACCTTTTATCCTATTTATCCTCATAATCTACCAACTACTTCTTGAAAATGCTGTTAATATTCATGAAATGTGTTGGTAGCTTCCCGACCTAAATCTGTACTTGCGTTCTTATCAAATTTCTATGGCCTTTGTTTGGGAACTTAAGTTTGATATTAAAATAGCCTCAAACACTAAAAAAGTCAAATAGTCTCAAATACACTACAACAAAATATACTTTTGGCAATCAAATTTGGCGACTAAAATATCTGTTTGTTGGCGTTGGTTGAAGGTTTTAGCTACTACATTATTTTAGTAGCTATATAATGTTTATTGGCGACTGAAAAAAACTTTAGTCACTAAATACAACTTAATAGGCGACAAATATAATTTTTTGTTGGTGTTAGTCGAAATTTCAGACTACTAATTCCTTGTTTAGTTGCCGTATACTGTTATTTGCCGACAAAAATAAATTTAGTCCCCAAATAATAGGGACATTTAGATGAACTTTTAGTGACTAAAATAATTTAGTCGTTGTATATTAAATTTTTGCCAACGAAAATAACAATTAGTAGCCAAATGTTAGTTTTTGGCAACATTTGCCGACAAATAATAATTTGGTCGCTAAAGATTGAAAAAAAAATTTAGAGGGAAATCCATTATATTGGCGCCCAATATTGTTCACACAAGAACACTTTTTGTTGTTGTTGATCTGTTCTGTCTCACACACCAGACACAAAGAATAGTCAATACCAAACCTCACTCCCCCTCACCACCGACGCTCTCCACCATCGCTGGCCACTAGCGCTCGCCACCGTAACCACTGTAAATCAGCACCGCCACTGAATCACAGGTAATCTTAGGTATTTTTCTCTTGTGCTGTTGCTCTCGGTCTCTCTCCCTCTTTGTTGATCCCAGTCTTTCTCTTTCTCCCTATTTATTCTCTAGTTCGTTAGATTTTGTTTTGTTTTTTTTTGCACCGGAAGCAATGTCCTTAGGTTCTACACTGACAATGCCCTATGCCTGAAGATCAGCCCCACCGTCGTCCTCGATATCAGCCTCTGCTTCATCAGCTGCTCTCCACATCTTTGGCAAGCTCTACCGCTACTGATTTGGTGCCCCCAGAGCTTGATTGATTTCTCTTACCTTGATTGTCCGAGTTTAGATCCCTCGGTAATTGGTAAGGCCACGAATTTTTGTTCTGTAAACTTTTTTTTCTCTAGGGTTTTATTGTGTTGAATTTGGATTTCATTTGGTTTTGTTTTGGGTGAGAGATAAAAGAGGATCTTAGTTTGAATGAACTTCTTGTTTTGATCATTGGAGGTGATGAAGCTTTCTTGATCATATCTCTAATCGACAAGGTTTGACATTCTTTAATTGGCTTGGATTAATAAGAGCTTGCTAACTATGATTTTCAATCTTTATTGAACGAGCAGTATTTAACAAAATTGTGGGTGGATTTGTGGTTGCTAGGTTATCCAAAACCTAAAAGAGAATGAATAGATTGTGATAAATGATAATGTAAAAGTCAACTGGTTTGTGTGTTGTTATGGAGTATCCTTACGTTCCAATCAAGATAAAATTATTTATGCAGAACAATGAGATTAGGATATGAACCGGACATGCTTTTTAAGGGTCTTGTTGTTTGCTTTTTCTTTGTGTTTTGGATTTTGTGTGCTTACATTTTCTCTTGCACAAAAAGATCATTCGTAATATAATAGGAAAGATTTTCATCAGATAATATATTTGAGCCCCAACTAAAATTTTGAGAATAATCTGAAGTGTTATATGATGTAAATGGCATTTATTTTACTTGGTTTCCTAGGTAACATTTAATTGATTGCTAAATATTATAGTTCATCTAGCCAAAGTAAATGCCCATGCATAAGAAGTTGTTCCGATTGCTGAATTTTATGGTGATAATTACTAGAATATTCTCATGATACTTTTCATTTCTACAAATTGATAGTTTATTAGTTTTGGTTTGTGGGATTCGTTCAATATTTGTTTCATGGGATTTTAATTTTTGCCAGATGAATTGCTACTTTGTTACCATGTCATCTTAATTGATAGTCACATCTAGATGTTATTCCATCATTTTATATCAATATTTAGTTGCTTGAATTTAAGACCTACCTCACTGTTTAGTTTTTAACTTAAATTATATATACAGAGCAACCATTTTTGTTGATAGGTAGCCTTTATGGCATGCTGTCTAGCATGAAAATGATTGTTTGCTACAACATGTGAAAATGGTCATATTACCTAGAGTTAAATGCCTAAATGCATGTTGTCTTAATTGATCGCTTTAGCTTACAAATATCATCATGTTCCCTCAATATCGTGAGGTAGGACTTCAGATTGTTATGATTAGTAGGTTTATAGAGCATTGTACTTAATTGTTTAAGACTTTTTGTTTTTTGTTTTTTGTTTTTTGGGTGCATAAATCATAAATTAAGACAATGAAATATACAACATATACAAGGGGTATACCCTAAGCCCTAACAACAATAGAACAAAGACTAAAATGCTACAAAAAAATTAATAAGGCCTAAACCCTAGAACATGACCAAATCAAAACCCCATCATGACAAAGAGGGGCCACAAAACAAGGAAAATTACACATCAAAGAAAAACAAAAACAAACAAGCTACACTAGCTACAACAGCAGTAGCAACAGCAACAGCAGCCAACAGACAGTTGCACTAACTGCATCGATAGCAACAACATTCAAGTTGCTGCAAAATTTACCAATACTTTAGGCAACCAAACAGCAGCAACAACAGCCATCAACAGCAGCCAGTACCACTAGTAACAGCAGCCACAACCAACAATAATTTATGGCTTAGTTGTTAGCAATGTTTGTAATTTGGAACTTGCTTTCCCTTCTGTACCAGGGTGAACAAGGTCAACTCGCGTACGAGGACTTACATTAGGCAAAGGAGTGGAGAAAAAAATAGCTAGGAAAAAAGGAGAGAAATTGCATGTTTAAATCACAAAGAGCTACTGAGGGAGAAAGAGGAGCACCAAAGAGATCGTAAGGAACTTATAAGGGAAAAAGAGGAGATGATGAAACAAGTCGAAGAAAAAAAAAAGCACGGGAGACACAACAAGTACAACTCAATCATCTGAATGATGTGGTGTCACGGCTCATAACCCTCTTGCAGGGTTCAGATGGTCATCCTACTATTGGGTAAGAAGAATTTTATTGATATGGTACTAAAAGTTCTACAAAAAATGGATCATATTGACTATTGTGTACGATGAACCTAGAGTTGTTTTTTAAAGCTCCTATTCAAACCTATTAGAACGTTCATTATGGGTTTTGTTCTTTTTTTTTTTTTTCCCCTCTTCTTCTTCTATGCTTCGAATAGGTTTTGAGGCATAATATAAATAGACTTAGCAGCAAAGGACCTGGTGTTTCAATACATTAGGCAAATGACTTCATACTGATTTCCATAAGGTAACAACATAGATACTTGTTGAGAGTTTTTTTTTTTTTTTTTTTCACGTGAACAAGTTAATACATAGATATGCAAGGGTCATTTGAGATTTTAGATTGAGTTAAATCAACCAAGTGAACTTGGAATGAATTTTTAGCAACATGATTTACTGGCTGAATTATGAGATGCATTATGAGATGCCTGAACCACTCTATGGATGTCACGAGTAGTTTCCTCGTGACAAATAGGATCTGTGGGGACAGATGAGATGTAATTAGCACACATAGGTTGGGAGTTGGAGTGAAAAATGCCATAAACTTAGTTGAAAAAGGCCGTTCGGGGTCGAAAATGCAAAGCAGCCCCCGAACCACTCTATGGATGTCATAGGTAGTTTCCTCATGACAAATAGGACCTGTGGGGACAGACAGAATGTAATTATCACACGTAAGTTGAAAGTTAGAGTGAACAACGCCGTAAACTTAGTTGAAAAATGTCGTTTGGGGCCGAAAATGCAAAACAGCCCCCGAACAAGCTCAACAATGAGAATTATCATATAGATGGGTCCATTTGTAAGATTCTATGTGGTTTGGGTTGACTAATCAATGGCCTAATTTATTGAATTTTCATAGCTTATATGCAATAGGCAAAACCATTTCAATGATCTCTCAGTATAGTGAAACATTTACTCAACAACATGACATTTTTGCTAAATATGACAACCAAACAGGGTTGTAAAGAACCAAACTGAAGAGTAGGCCCAATTTAACCTTAATGTTGACCTTCAATCATCTTCTAGTTCCACAAATAAGCATTGCCAAGTTGTTTTATAAAGAAATTTTATGTCATTACTGTTGAATATGTTGTACAACCTTACATTGATTGTCATTTTTTAAAGGCGATATGTTTTCTCATTACTGCTGAATATGCTGCACAACCTTACATTAATTGTCATTTTTTAAAGGCTACATTTTTCCTCATTACTGTTGAATATATATGCTGCACAGCCTTATATTGATTGTCATTTTTTAGATGCCAATGAAATTTTACTCTTGTGCACTTTGCATTGTTTAGGTTTCTAACATTTCAATAATGTTAATTTTATTTTCAAAATATTATGATTGAGGGATGAAACTACACCTCAGCCAAAAAATAAAAATAAAAAAATGAAAAAAAATCCCTTTACAGATCTAATAACTTTTTTTTTGCATGGTCTTATGTTCAAATGCTATATGGAACTAATGGGTGTAGTTTTTGTTTTGTATATGTCTTTTGGCATAGACATGTGGATCTTTCATTTTTGTGTACAGAGGATAATTTACACTTTTGAACAGTCCTATTTTTTTGTCGTCCTCTACTTTTTGTATGGAATTTGGATGAATCGTACATATAACTTTTGGCGAGGTACAGAAAACTTTTGACATGAAACTTGTATTTATTGCCGTGGTATATAGATTACTTTTTGTCATGGTAATCTATACCATGCCAAATGGTCATTTCGCATAGTAGTAAATATATTTTTGTGTATGGAAGACATTGTTTTGGTATGCTTATTTGTTATGTACGAAGTTATTATTTCCAATTGGAATATGTACTTGATTTGTACAGAAGTTGACATTATAAGTTATTCTTTTTTGTTAGATGGTTGTAAGTGAAACATGCGTTATGGAATGGATGATAATATATACATATTGTTTTGTTTTTATACCTGTTACAGGTTGCGGTGGATACATATAGGTTGTGGACAAATTAATTAAAATTTAAAAGGAAAAAAAAACATAAAATGATATTTTTGGCGACTAAACATTTGGTAGCCAAAAATGGAGTTAAATATTTTTAGTGACTAAATAGTTAGTAGCTAAAAAAATTAAATCTTTTGGCGACTAAATATTTGGTAGCCATTTAAAACACTTTAGGCGACTAATTATTTAGTAACCAGAAAAGGAAAAAACACTTTTTGGTGACTAAAACTTTGGTCACCCTAAATACTTGAAATTTTGGTGACAAAAAATTTTAGTAGCTGAAAATGCGATTTAAATTAAATTAGTAGATTTTGGCAACTAACAGATTAGTCGCCAATTTAGCCTCATCAGTGACTAAGGGTTATTTTTGTCGCCAATACCTTTTACTTTTGGCAACTAAAAAATTTGTCACCATTTGTAGGACTTTTGGCCACTAAATATTTTTTAATCGCCAATACCTTCCTTGACAATCTTCCCGCAACAAATCCGGCGACCAAAATATTTAGTCGGAAAAATGTTTCGGCAACTAAAATCTTACTTTTGGAGACTAAAAATTTAATCGCCAAAAATGTAATTTCTTGTAGTGATAGTACCTAAACAAGGCCTATGTGTGTCATATACTCTCTAGTTGCTATTAACATTTTTCAGTGATATTAATCTAAAGAGTATGTTTGCATATGTAAAAATAAAATGCAAAATGACACACAATTGTGTCTTATTCTATATTTTTATAACATTACTGTAATCTAAAATTTAAGATAACTGCCCATATTTTTGAAATACTTTTAAATCTCACTGTGTGCATTTTATTTTTTTTAAAAAAAATTATGACTTGTCCCACCAATGTATGAAACTATGTTAGTTGAGAAAATAGATGTGATCAGCAAAGAAAGCACGGCTCTTGACAAGTGTCTTGGATCATGGTTGGAGTATCTTTTTCAAGTTTATTATTGTATATTACTTATTTCTCGTTTCGAAATATATTATTTTAATAATTTTTTAATTTTTTATAAAAAAATATATAATAAAAAAAAGAGTAATGTGATAATTTATAATAATTTTTTTAACTTTTTAATTAAAATTAAAAATTACCAAACAAAACCCTACAGTTGAGAGAAAGTAAAATAATGTCGTAATTGCTTCCTTTCTGCATGAACTGATTGATGTCAAGTATTTTTTAAAATACAAATTCATCTCACAATCAATATATGACTTGAGCTTCTTTCTTCCCTTCACACTCGTATCGCCTGACGATTTAGACTTTTAAACATAATAACTTGAGTTTCTTTCTTCCCTTTACGCTAGTACCGCTTGACAGTAAGATCAAGTTAGTTCAGGTGACCTCCCATCTGCTATTCATTTGAATTTAGATAGATTAAAAAAAATCAATCTGCATATGCCTATTTAGTTAGCAGATACGGATTGAGCGGGAGCCGTGCAGGTTAGTGGGTAGATACGGATTGATTTTGCAAGCATTTTTTTGAATTATTCCGGAGTAATTATTTTACTATTTTTGGCCTTATTTGAGTCTAAAGTTTTTTATTCTTTATTAACAAATAAAGCCTAACTTTCATATTCATAGATAACTAATGTTATTACTAAATAAAAGCCTTTTTTTTAACATACAAAATATAAAACATAATATCATTTTTTAGGAGATTGGCGGATTAGGTTGAGTCAAATGGCCTCACATCCGTCACCCATTCGAACATAGGCAAATTCAAAAAAATCTTCTCCCACATCTGTCCAACCATACTGTTGGAACCGCCTAAAAGAAGGTAGGTTGGGTCCAATTGGTCGATTTTGACAAGAAGCTCCCTTCATGACTACCTCTCATCAATGGTGCCAATTTGAGTGCAAAGAGTGAAGCTCATAGAATACTAACACTACAGGAAAAAGGGAATTTGGTGGCGTTTTTGTAACGACGTTTATTTAAACGTCACTGTTATTAGTATTTAACGGCGTTTTATAAAACGCCGCGTATTCTATTACACAAAACGACACCGTTTTATAATGAGAGGCGTTTAAAAACGCCTCCGAATGCGGTAGCCACACGCGCCTCTTTTTTTTTCTTTTTTTTTCTTTGAACAATAACACGCACCTCCGAAACCTTATTTTGAATCCTTAATACATACGGATAGATCTCTCTCTCTCTCTCTCAACCCTTAATACATACGGACAGATCTCTGTCTCTCTCTCAACCCTCTCTAAGCTCTATCGAAGATTCAGATCGATTCAGATCGAAGCTCCATCGAAGTTTCAGATCTAAGCTTCATCGAAGATTCAGATTGAAGCTCCATCGCCTGCGATTTCGAAGCTCCATTGAAGCGATTTCGAAGATTCAGATCTGAACTCTGACCCCTCGATTACTCGCATTTCAACCTCCATTGAATAGTCTACTTTGTTTCTGAACTGTAATCGGTACTCGCTCTCTCTCTCTCTGTCTCGCTCTATTTCTGGTTTTTGGGAAAAATGAAGACTGTCTAGCTCTCTGTTTCTGAACTGTAAGAGGCAATGCTTGCTTTCCTTTGTATTCGGGATTAACATTTAAGATTGTCTAGCTCTCTGATTAATATTTTTCACTTACTCAAACATCTTCGGTTCTTCGAGCGTATCGGACATTTTTGCCCCTAGTTCCAGGGGTGCTTCTGATCTAGCTTTGCAAGCTTCTTTTGATGAGATCTAATCTTCTTGAGCTTTTCTTGCCCCTAGTTCGTGGGCTGCTTCAAATCTGGCCACGCAGGCTTCACATTATGGTTGACCTTTGAACTTTCTAAGTCCGAGTTCAAGGCTTGAAAGCAAGGGGTCGAGTCTCGAGGTTGAGAGCAATCCTAAGCTGCACAATCTCAAGAGCAATTCCACCCAGGTCTTCGCAAGACTGTGCAAAACATTTTTTGAAATCTTTTAAGAAAGCGACTAATCGCTCGCACGAAAGACAATGTGAAACCAATCTAGATCAAGCCAGGATCCTTCTTAGTTCTCACATTAACAAGCATGATCTCATTCATTAAGGGCCCAGCATGCCTCTCTTTCTCTCAATTGATCAAATTTTCACAAATCCCGAGGAATTCCTTCCTCTTCGTTTTCATCACAATGTTCAAAAAGTTTTGAAAAACTTAGGTCAATGTAATGATTTCAAGGCACAGAAAAGTAGGTGAAAAGCACTGCTTATTTCATTCAAAATTCTGGCACAACTGGCTCCAAGGTATAAAACAGACTCAAAAGCATGGAAATCACTACTATTTCATTCAGATCTGTTGGCATAACTGGCTCAAAGGCAGAAATAGACTCAAAAGAAAGCAAAAAGACAAACACAAAACAAAATAGTGCCATCCGAGGTAACATCCCCAGAATCACTCGACTCCTATACAACAGGACTGACTCGATACGACAAGACAGACCCCAGTTGACTCAATATGAAAAGACTGACTCAAAATGAAGAGACAGACTCAAAACAAAACAACAGAACTGACTCAATACCTAAGCCAGAACGTACAAAAACCAGCGCTCGCGAATGCTCAAAACAGTGCGTGCCATACGCCACATCTGAAGTAAACTGAGTGTCGCCCGCAAGTGGTTCATCCCCCCAATCATCACATTATCCCCCACGTTCATCGATCCAGTGCCGATAGACCTTGCGAGACTGGTGCGGCGATGACGTTGTTGTCAATCAAATTTTGTATCTCGTGGCAAAGACGGACGCAACTGTCAGTGCCATGACCGGTTTGTTGTTGGAAAGTGCAATACTGAGTACCATCATGATTAGCTGGAAGAGGATTCGGGAAAGGCCGAGGCTCGAGAGGTTTGAGATGTCCTTTTTCGACAAGGATTTGAAAAGCCTTGGACAAAGGCATGTAGAGGGCATGGAAAACCCTACAACCTCGAGGTAAATACTTCGAAGTCTGTGGACCTTTGCTGGACGCACTAGCGAAAGGATCGGCAGGTGCCACCTTGGCTTTCTGATCTTTTCCAGGTGCAGGGTTAGGATTGGAAGGAACGGTTCTAGTACGACGGTCCCTATCCCGATTTTCCCCCTGGCTTGAGCTGCTCTCGGTCTGAGTGGGGAAGATGTCATCCACAGTCTTAGCAACAATCGCGAGTACTTGTTGCTTATTCAACCCTCCAGCTTTCAGAGCCTCAACAACTTGCTGGGGTTGTTCGTAGGGATCAGTGTCCACCTTCATCTTATTCTTTCCACTAGCATCAGCTTGGTGAAAGGTTTGGGTTGCTTGATCAGAGTGGAGCCTTGTTGTTGTCGACATGTCATTGTCGAAGCTTGAGACAGCTTCAAGCTGGCTAAGCTCAATTACAATTCGCCCCAGTAGCGGGGGCTCCTCCGGCATGAAGTTCCCGGCATACGATGTGGTTGGTGGCGGAGCCGGCATTCCGTAGGCTAGATCAGCCACAGATCTTTGAAGGTCGCCAATCATTCCCATCAACTCAAAGGTGGTGGGCTCACGAGCTTGAAACAACTGGGGTTCCCAGATCGGATGTGCGGCAGGCGACCTGGGCGGGTGTGGTACTTCAACGTCGGTCTCACCCTGCAAGATGATTCCTTGGTTTAATGCGGCTGCCATAACCACAATTTCCTCTTCCGAACTCTGTGTCATCATGGGTCTGCTGATGATGTGACTGGTGACTGTCAGATCAGATGAACCAATGAGCCCTGTCTGGCCCTTCTTTGCCTTACCACTAGCGAAGGAAAACTAGTTGCCCTTGAACTGAATCTCTGACCTGACAAAGTCTATCAGCACAAGTCCAATGAATGTGGGGGATATCGGAGCCTTCTGAAACTAT